GTCGCGGAGCGGGTGGAGTCGGGCGGGAAGTGCTGCGGTCCTGCATTTGCTTCGGTTGTTAAGCGGCGGCCCCTACCTATAGGCTGCTCCCTGCCGCCCAGGCTTGTGTTTCTGGGTTTCTCAGAGACATTTACTCCTCACGACCGCCTTGTGAGTCCTGTTGAGGAGGACCCGAGGGTTACGTAGGCGATGGAGGTGGCCACGGTCCCGGGAAGTTCGCCGCACGGTTTGCCACGTGGTGCCGCTGTCTGAGCACCTTGGCTGCAGTAATGTCTGTCCTCAGTAGTAGCTCTGAAATAGTGGGTTTAGTATTCGTGCTAGTTATTTCTCAAATGCATGTAGAAACACATTTTCAAAATAAGAACTCTTCCACCAGTAGCACTTCAAATGTAATTGCCCCGTCGCAGTTTGCAAGTCATATTCTTGGCTTAGATCCGGACTAACACATGTATGGACACACCCCAAGAGTTCAATGAAGGGGGCTGGTCCCCGGGGGCTCTGGGGCTGGACACGGCATGTCATTTTATTCTGCTGACTTAGTTGACAAAGAATAATGGTAGCACTTTTTAAGGGTGACTAAAAAGTTGCTTATGTCCATAAACTACCTCCTGGTGTAGGGTAAAGGCCCCAAAAATGTGTACACTTACTAGTGCCCGCTGGGCAACTCCATTGATGGGGCGGAGGACTGGGCAGGCAGTGCTGTCCTTTCTACACCGGCGCCGAGAGCAAGTGCCTGGGATTGTTTCCTGTTCTCATTAGAACACGAATAACCGTTTTCAATTCCACAAGGACATGGTCTCGTCTCACCCAAGGGAGAGTGTCATTAGGCATGAAGGTGTCTAGGGATGGGATGAAGGGCCACCCTGGAGTGATTGATCTGGTGAGCGTCTTTCTCTCTGTTCCTGACTGTTACCGTGTTTTTGGAAACATTTTCAAATGAGAAGCACCACAATCCTCATTTTGGAGGAAGTGAGGTCTCAGTATCTTAATGAAAAGGTTTGTCAGTATTGAGCTGTCTGCCACTGGGGGTTTCACATAAGCCGTTTATTACCGCTTTTCACGTGAGCTGTGACGGCATCTCTGCTCATCCGTTTTATGTAAAGTTTGCAGACCAGGACCAGCCGCCCTCAGGAGGCGAGGGAGAGGACGACGATGCAGAGGCCGCCTTGAAGAAAGAAGTTGGTGACATTAAAGCGTCTACTGAGATGCGGCTGAGAAGGTTCCAGTCAGTGGAGAGCGGCGCGAACAATGTGGTCTTCATCAGGACACTGGGGATAGGTGTGTCTGGCCACTACGCCTTTCGATGCCCGATCCTGTACTGTCTGGCCATCTCCCTCTCACAGAACACCGGCTCCCTCACCTGGTCTCAGCACCAGGCATATAGAAGGCAGAACAGGGTGGGGGACACAGCCTTGGCTCAGGAGTAGAAACTTGGGTTTGCCACTTCCTTTGCATGTCACTTTGGGTAAAACAAGTACACGCTCTGTCCAAAAGGGGCAGCTGCCACCCAGCTCCAGCCCATCTGGAATGGCTTCAGGCTTTAGGGGAAGTGGTCCTGCTAGGGCCACATCTTCTGATTTTTCAAAAGAAGTTGGAAATCTGGAGAAGTTTCTAGATTTTTAAATGCAGTTAACTAATTTAAAAGTATTGAAAGCACTGAGCAGCCCCATCAGATTTGTATATTATTAGGATGTGACCTAAGGACTACCGCTTGACCTTGTGCAGGTCATGGTCTGGGGCTCCTCTAAGGTCTGAGATCTAGATTTATGTATAAACTTAGCTTCTGGATTAATTACATCTTTTTAAGTGATTTGCAGATTCTTGTTTTGTTTTTGTAAAAAACTGCTATTTAATGTTTGTTACTTAGATAGTTGCCATTTTTATAGGAAAACAACAGTGTGGTTTTATCATTGAGTAAGTCAGATATAAAAATGTAGCTTCGCTGTCTTCGTGAACAGTTGTTTTTGGTAAAAGTAATGCTGAAGAGTTAAAATACTAGATATGGTATTGATACGTAGTAGGCATTGAAGAAATACTAGTTGGAAAGCATGGTTGGTTAGACTTATTTAAAGTTCATTATGATCACTTCTTATACTCTATTGTCAATTTATGTCACTGACAATGAAAATTCATTTTAGAGAGTTAGAAGAGGCTTTAAAATGTCTGAAAACTTAGATTCTCAACTTGTCTGTTCCGTGCTGCTTTTTCCCTTGTAGAACCTGAGAAACTGGTACATCATATTCTCCAGGATATGTACAAAACCAAGAAGAAGAAGACCCGGGTTATTCTACGAATGTTACCCATCTCAGGCACATGCAAGGCTTTCTTAGAAGATATGAAAAAATATGCAGAAACTTTTTTGGAACCCTGGTTTAAAGCTCCAAATAAAGGGACATTTCAGATTGTATATAAAGCTCGAAATAACAGTCATGTGAATAGAGAAGAAGTTATCAAAGAATTGGCAGGTATATTTCTCTTAGTGATTTTACATTGGTGTGCAAGGTAATTCTTGTTCTTGTTTGTATGAATTTTTTTTAGGAAACTCCACTCTGTTTTCCAAAGTGATTGCACCAATTTACATTCCCACCAATAGTGCTCCCTTTTCTCCACATTTTCAACAGCTCTTGTTTATTGATTTATTGATGATCCTGACAGGAGTGAGGTGATATCTAATTGTGGTGTGATTTGCATCTCTCTGATGATTAGTGACATTGAGCATCTTTTCATGTGTCTGTTGGCCATCTGTGTGTAGTCTTTGGAGAAGTATCTACTCAGGTCTTCTGCCCACTTTTTTTTTTTTTAATATATTTTTATTGATTTCAGAGAAAGAAGAGAGAGATAGAAACATCAATAATGAGAGAGAATCATTGATTGGCTGCCTCCTGCACATCCCACACTGGGGATCAAGTCCGAAACCCAGGCATGGGCCGTGACTGGGAATCAAACTGTGACCATCTAGTTCATAAGTTGACCCTCAACCACTGAGCCATGCTGGCTGGCCCCACTTTTTAGTTGGGTTGTTTGTTTTTCTGGTGTTGAATTGTCTGAGTTCTTTATAAATTTTGATATTAATCCCTTATTGGACATGTCATTGGTGATTATGCGCTCCCATTCTGTAGATTGTCTGTTTTGCTGTACAAAAATTTTTTAGTTTACTGTAGTCCCATTTGTTTTATTTTTTCTTTGTTTCCCTTGTCCAAGAAGAGGTGTCAGAAGAATATCGCTACGAGAAACATCTGAGATGTTACTCCTATGTGTTCTTCTAAGGGTTTTATGGTTTTGAGACTTTAAGTTTTTAATCCATTTTGAGTTTATGCTTACGTATGATGTAAGAAGGTGGCCTAGTTTCTTTCTTTCTTTTTTTTTTTTTTTTGCACGTATCCATCCAGTTTTTCCAGCACCATTTATTGAATAGACTGTTTTTGTCCCATTGTACATTCTTGCTTCCTTTATCAAAGATTAATTGACTGGATAGGGGTGGGTTTATCTCTGGGCTCTCTCTGATTCCGTGATCTATGTGTCTGTTTTTATGCCTGTGCCATGCTGTATTGATTTCAATGGCTTTGTAGTATAGTTTGATATTCGGTAGTGTGATACTTCCCACTTTGTCTTCTTTTTTCAAGATATCTGTCGCTGTCCTGGTCCATGTGGCTTAGTTGGTTGTAGTGTGGTCCCATGCACCAAAGGGTTGTGGGTTCACTTCCTGGTCAGGGCACATATCCAGGTTGTGGGTTTGATTCCCAGTCAGGGCGCATATGGGAGGCAGCTGATCGATGTTTCTTTGTCACATCTATCTTTCTCTTTCTCTCTCCCTACCACTCTCTCATTAAAATCAGCTAAAAAAATAAATAAAAGATTTCTGTCACTATTTGGGTCTTTTGTGTTTCCATATAAATTTTTGGATTATTTGTTCTAGTTCTGTGAAACATACCATTGGAATTTTGATAGGAATTGTGTTGAATCTATAGATTGCACGGTATGTTTCTATTTACTACTATCTTCTTTGATTTCGTTCTTTAATGTTTTATAATTTTCTGTAACCTCCTCTGTTAAATTTATCCCTAGAGCCCTGGCTGGTGTGGCTCAGTTGGTTGGATAGTCATTCCGTGCAATAGAAGGTCATGGAGTTGATTCCCAGTCAGGGCACATACCTAGGTTGCGGGTTCAACCCCCAGTTGGGGCAAGAACAGGAGGCAACTGATTGATGTATGTCTCTCACAGCCATGGTTCTCTCTCCCTCTCTCCCTCTCCCCCTCTCTCCCTCTCCCCCTCTCTCCCTCTCTCCCTATCTCCCTTCCTCCCTTCCACCTCTCTATTCCTCTCTCCTTCTCTGGAATCTACATATATAAAAGCCTAAGTGACTGTTCGACCATCCGACCGGTAGCCATGATGTGCATTGACCACCAGGGGGCAGATGCTCAATGCAGTAGCTGCCAAGCTGTGGTGACTTGGCAGCTGTGGTTCTTGGGTTACGCACCCGGAACCAGAGAGGAGGGAGCCCGATTCTAGGGTGCGTCACCCAAGAACCGCCCATTCGCAATCTGGGACCCCTCAGGGGATGTCCGAGAGCCAGTTTCAGCCCAATCCCCTCAGGCCAGGCGAGGGACCCCACCAGTGCACAAATCTGTGCACCAGGCCTCTAATCAATAAAATAAAATAAATTTATTTCTAGGTATCTTTTATGCAGTTGTAAATGGATGTGTTTTTTAATTTTCCTTTCTGATAGTTCATTATCTTTATATAAAAAAGCCTAAGCAACCGTTACAATCGGAACGACTGGTCGACCAGTCGCTATGACGAGCACTGACCACCAAGGGGAAAATGCACAATGCAGGAGCTGCCCCCTGGTGGACAGTGCACTCCCACAGCCAATCTCCTGTGGCCGGCCATCCTCCCCTGGTCCCTCCCCCCGGCCGGCTGGCCAACCTCCCGCGGCCCTCTCCCCGGCCAGCAGGCCCCAATCGGGACTGGGCGAGATGGTCCTGATGGCCGGCCAGGCCTAGGAACCCCACCTGTGCATGAATTCATGCACCGGGCCTCTAGTTGTCATATAAAAATGCAACTGATTTTTGGATGTTTATTGTGTATCCTGCTACTTTACTGAATTCATGTATCAGTTCTAGTAGTTTTTTTGTGTGGAATAGGTAGGGCTCTCTATATACAATATCGTGTCATCTGCAAATAATAACAGTTTTACTTATTCCTATCCAATTTAGATGCCTTTTATTTCTTCTTGTCGGATCACTGTGGCTAGGACTTCTAGTACTACGTTGTTTTTCCCTATTGAGTATGATGTTGGCTGTGGGTTTGTTACATGTGGCCTTAGAGATATGTTGCCTCTGTTCCCACTTTGCTGAGAGTTTTTATCATAAATGGGTGCTGGATTTTGTCAAATGCTTTTCTTGCATCTATTGATATAAAAGATTGCCCTATGACCCAGTGATTCCACTTCTGAAAATATGTCCAAAGAAGCCCAAAACACTAATTCGAAAGAATATATGCATTACCATGTTCATTGCAGCATTATTTACAATAGCCAAGATATGGAAGCAACCCAAGTGCTCATCAATAGACAAGTGTATAAACAAAACCTATGGTATATCTACATAATACACAAGGAGTACTACTTGGCCATAAAAAAGAAAAAAACTTACCTTTTGCAACAGCATGGATGAATCTAGAGGGTATTATGCTAAGTGAAAAAAGTCAGAGAAAGACAAATACCGTATAATTTCACTTATGTGGAATCAAGAACAATAAATCGAAAGAGACTCAGGTACAGAGAACAGAACGGCTGATAGAGGGGAGATGGTTGGAGGACTGGGTGAAAAGGTGAAGGGATTAAGAAGTACAAATTGGTAGTTAAAGAATAGTCACCGTGCTGTACAGTACCACATAGGGAATATAGTCAGCAGTATAATTATGAATGGGGTCGGGGGGTACTTGAAATATCGGTGGGGGTTGAGGGGACCACTCCATAAATTATATGTTTGTCAAACCACTATACTGTTCTTCTGAAACTAATACAGGATAATGTAAACTATAATTGAAAAAAATAAGTTTTTAAAGGTTTAAGGCTTACATTTTTTAGTGTAGAGAAAATATATTAAAATGTCTTTAAAATAATATCAAACCTAACTGATTTCAGTATGTTGGATATGAGTTTTTCTGATAGTTAGATATTAAGTCTTCCAAACCAAGATTGAATTTTTCTTTGGAAAATAAGTATTCTTATTAAATGTCTCAGGGTTTCATTTGCATTTATTTTTTGAAAGAGGTCAGGGTATGTAACTGAGGCCTGTGTGGAAGAGTGCACTTGTATGTGCTTTGGTTTAACAAGTCCCAGGCAGAGAGATGAAAGAATGTTTTTGTATCCTTGAAGCGTCACAGTACCCGCTCAGCCTAAGTTTTTCCTCTTTTTTCTACAGGAGTAGTAGGAAGCCTCAACTCAGAAAACAAAGTGGATCTTACCAACCCACAGTACACAGTGGTAGTGGAAATCATCAAGGCTGTGTGCTGCCTGAGTGTGGTGAAAGATTACGTGTTGTTCAGGAAGTATAATCTCCAGGAGGTGGCCAAGAGCGCTCAGGACCCGCGGCCACTCGACCCCAAGCAGGCAGCCCAAGCAGGAAATGGGGAAGAAGCTAAATTGGAAGCTGGTGACAGATCAAATCAAAATGACCCAGCAGACGGAAAAAATAGCCAGCAGGCACCGGAGAATAGTGAGGAGCAGGGGCAGGCAAAACCGGTATCAGAGACACAGGTGGCACACGAGGAAGGAGCTAAACCTGAACTTGCAAGTCAAGTCACAGAAGGATCTGAGTCAAATGAAAATGACCTCTTGTAGGGAAAAAAGTCTTGATGTTGGAGGTGAGTTTCTCTACTGGGATTCTGCGAGCTGTTGCTGGGGTTCCATATAAAATTGCTACTGAAAATGTTTTTGAACTTTCGCGCTCACAGTAATGAGCAGTGACGGAGCCGCCCTGCTGACAGTTCCTTAGAGACTGTGTCCGCCTGCCTGGCAGAGTGCAGTGGGCCCGCCACGGGGTTGAGCTGGACCCTGTGGGTGATTGGCGAGCACTATTCACAGAGGGAGTGTGGTAGGAGTGTGACATTGGCCGCTCCCTCCTGACTACCTGCCCCAGCACTGCCCACTGACTGACTGATGGGGGCGAACTTCGAGGGAAATGTTCATTCTTAGGAAGGAATTGTGTGCTGCAACTCAGTTGTCTCCTGATACTTTGTTGTAAACTGCAAAAACATGGGTCAAAAAGGTTAGAAGTGAATTGTTTTGTGAAGTTTTTGAACTTTTTGTGATTTCTTGTTTAGCTGTTACGCCCGTTTCGTATTTTATTAAAAATAAAATTTTTTGTTTATTACAAACAAATCTGATGGTCCGGTGCAACCATTTTTGAAGGCAAGGTGTGAGGTAGAAGAGGACTCTGCTAGGCATAGAACACAGACATTTCTGATCAGGTTAGTGATGAAGAATTATAGCCTTTGGAGTTACTTGAGTATATTAGTGCAACAAGGGACAGAAAGAAATTCTTTCTTTACAGTGAAAGCTACTTTCTAATGGTTTTATATGGACGTATAATCCAAGCTGTCCTATTCCAGTGTATATCATCTGGAATGCAACCTATAAACCTAGATTTTGGTCCAGCAGTTGCAACTAAATCATAGCCATTTGATAAGTAAAAGTGTTGATTATTTTAAATGATTTTTGGAATAACAAAATAGTAAAGATTTTTTGTTTAAAAAATCACATTCAGTGAAAAAGTTTAGGAAGCAAATTATCTAGTAGCAGAACTTATTCCACAAAATAAAGTCTCACATAGTTGGTAAGAATCTAATAAAACCAACATTGAAATGCTAGGGCAAGAAGTTCAAGAAATTGAAAAGATTTTACTCCAGTTTAATAAATTGACATATATCACATGATGCTAAAAAGTTTTCTTTTGTCATTAACTGCAAAGTAGCAATTTATCTGGGTTGATGAGTCAACAGATTCCAAGAATATTTTTAAATTTTATTTTTAATTTTTCAACAGTTGGCATTCAATATTTTATTAGTTTCAGGTATACAGCATAGTGGTTAGACATTCATACAACTATGATGAATGTTTGACATGGTGCAGCATTTGCAAGATTTGTAAACGATGATGAATCAGGAAAACTTTCTGCTGCTAGATGCCTTCCAAAACAAAGGCCAGTATAAATGTAATGGGTCTTCATATCTGAAAAGCAGACGTCTGTCATCTGTACTCCCGGTGCCCGTCAGTGGTTGGCTTCATGACACATTTTGCCTCATTTAAAAAAAAATGTAATGTTGATGTTGCAGCACACTGCTCTCTTCACAGAAAGGTGCTGATATAAAACATGAGATGAAAGTTTTGGATAATGCTACAAAATGGTTACTTTAGTAAAGACTTCATTTATGCAAGGATATGTTTTTTAAAGCCCCAAACTGAAACCTGAACAAAGAGCACATGACTCTTTGGAGGTGAATGACCAGAGTACAGACAAGAAAATACTGGGCCAGGTTTTGCTGAATGCTTTGAAGATGAAGAATGGTTAAGAGATATTTCTCATTGCATGAACAAACAAATATGTTTCTGCAGGGTCCTAGAGAAAAGATTTTTTCTTAAAAGTGACAAGATTCTTAGATTAAAAAGAAATGGACTCTGGAACAACCACTTGGGTTTGAGAGTGAAGAAAGTAACAAGGCTCAAGCCCCTAACTCTCCTGGAAGAACTGCTAAACCAAATTGAATAGCGTTTTCCCTCCTTTGCCTAACACTTGTGTATGGCTGGGAGAGGAACCTCTTTCTGAGTCTCAGCCTGAGATTTTGTCTGGGGAAGAAAATGAACTGCATCCTACTCTGACACTGGATTTCTGTGACATAGAGTACCCTTCAGTTTAGTGCTCTCAAACGCAGATCATGGGGGTTCCCTTAATTTGAATGTTTTTTTCAAGGGTTCCTCCAGGGCAAAACTGAAAAAAGCCGGAAGAGGCAGACACCAAAGTGGGTTGCGAAATTAAGAATATTAAGGGGCTGTGAAGTTAGCTTTTGGAGATTTAAATTTTAAAATATTTGGAAATGCCCAGCCAGTGTAGATCAGTAGTTGAGCATCGACCCATGAACTAGGGCCCTCCCTCCTCCCGGCCCCCCAAACCCTGTTTGATTGCCAGTCAGGGCACATGCCCAGGTTGCAGGCTCGATCAGCAGTAGGGGCCATGCAGGAGGCAGCCGATCGATGTCTCTCATCAATGTTTCTATCTCTATCCCTCTCCCTCTCTATCTAAAATCAATAAAAACATTTTTAAAAAAAGTTTGGAAGTTTTACAAATGGAAGTCTTCCCTCACCAATGGCTATGTTTGTTTAGGGACTAGTGAGCATGGGTTGGCAAACGACACTAGAAAATTTGGATGGGCAAGGGGAATAGACAGGGCTGCTAATGCAGGTGAGGCTGGGACTTCCCTACCTGGAATGTCAGCTCCTAATAGGTTGAAGTCAACTTGAAAGGATGATAAGAGCATTCAAAGTATCATTTTGGGGAACAGGATAGGATTCTGGTGCCTTCATCAGACTTGCTCCAAGTCAAAGATTATTTTTATTTCAACAGTGCAAGACTCTGGGACTTGGAATTAAATGGCCATACCTGCACCTGTGGAGCTGGGTTCCTTTCATTTCGTGAAAGCTGCTGCTACAGGAAGATTCGGGTGTAGTCGTTTGTTTTACTCCCCACTGTGTTTGTTTACGTTCAGGAGACCTGGGTGACCAGAGCTGACCTCCCAGCTGTAAAGGGCTGTGTTCTGTCGGAATCTGAGTTCATCCAGTAAAAGACTCGTTTTCAAGGTTACCAACTTTATTTTCACTGACGTGAGCATGTTATTCTCTAAGTGACGAGGTTCTAGGTTAGAATTGAATGCTTTCTTTAAATTTTTCTTTTTAAAAAATTATGTCAGTTTAAAAAAGTACACAGCAGTGTTGTGGTCCAGTAAACTTGTTTTGCTCTATGGCGAAACAAGCATTAAACTTGCTACTTTCAAACATGTTTCTCTAAACTTAAACATGATTTCTGAATGTTATTCTTACTTGTATTGCTTTTGGTTTTACTTGTACTGATTTTGGTACAGCCAAATATCAAGCTTGTTTTTTTATAGTTCCTGATATTTTTAGAAAAAATCAAAATAAAATTGTTCCATAAAGACTGGTCTGTACTTTTTTCTCTTTCTGCCTCTTAATACAGTGGGGCCTTGACTTACGAGTGTCCCGACTAACGAGTTTTTCGAGATACGAGCCGTCTCTCGGCTGATTTTTTGCTTTGAGTTGCGAGCTAAAATTCGGGTTACGAGCCAGCTTCAGATACCCCACCGCTAGTTAGCGCAGCAAACGTCACAGTGAACGCCACAACATCAGCCCAGCATCACGTGTCTCACTCATTCACTTTTTGATTTGACATACGAGCAATTTGAGTTACGAGCTCCGTCACGGAACGAATTAAACTTGTAAGTCAAGGCCCCACTGTAAATCTCTTGCTTTATAATAGACATATCACAAAAGATGTTTATATGTCAAATTATCCTAATATATAAAAAGCCTGGGGCCATCATGAACAAAGCAACTGGACTGATGACAACAGCAGGCTGCGTGGGCTGACCAGGCCGGCAGGGGGGGTTCGTGAGGGACGACCAAACGACCAAACAGCAGGCTGCGTGGGGCGACCAGGCCGGTGGGGGGTGAGGGGG